CTCGATATATTGATATCTTTGAACCTTTTTGATTTCAACTTTTGATTTCACTAGGTGAGCACGATTTATAATAGAAGGTGTTACTGGTTAACGCGTTGTCAAACTCCAAATATCTATGGTATCTTCAAGTAAATCAAGGACAATAACAATCTTCAAATGATTATGATTATTTCCCTATGATCTTCAATAAACACAATCAATAATATTTTTTAAAGTAGAAAAATATGATTTTAACACATTAAAAACAAAACAAAAACCAAATTGAAAATGTTTTCTATCAATATCAATATTAGTAATTTATAGATTTATACACAAAGAAAGAGAAGGTGGTGGATTCGAGTCCCTAAGTGAACATCGACTCTGGAATGTAGTTACATTCAGCTGATGAGTCCCAAATAGGACGAAAAATCCATCCCGGATCCCAATGCTAGTCACTATTCATCTTTGCTTATCAGACAAGTTTCTTTGTTAGATAAATAACTGAGTGGATCCTTCCACTTACGTAAATGAATTCAAAGTTACCCCATTACACAACCAAGTGGCTATCAGCTTCTCAGTAGCTAAGTGGATAACACGATGGAGTTTGAAGCGAATGGTACTGGGTTCAAGTCTCTGAGTGAACATCAACTCTGGAATGCTAGTGCATTCGTCTGAAGAGTCCTAAACAGGACGAAACGCGCATCGAACTGGATTCCACTGCTAGTCACTATCCATGTTCGCTTAGAATGACATAAAACAATATCGAGACAATCTGGACAGATTAACAAATAATATTGATAGGTTTACCTGTTTTCTGAGTAAATAGATTTATTAGACTACTATAGAAAACCTCGAACCATGGGACAACTATTTCATCCTAGTCTAGGACTCCTCATGTACCTAAATAAATGGTTGCTCTGGCTTTCAGAATTGTGATCAGCCTCGTGGCTTTCGGAGGAACTCGGTTTTCACCATGACACATCATAACGCTTCTAAATGAAGACCTTCTAACTTCCAGTGTAGAGTTTATATGGGATGCTCAACCGCTCTCCTTTATCCGGGCTTGAGACTGGCAGTAGCTCCAGATGGGCTCCAGGCGCAGTTACGTAAATCGTACCACTATTTATTTATACATTCATTACATACATTCAAATAACGGGTACTATTCAACAAAAGTATTAAAACATGATTCGCTAACTAACATTGTGTATGTCATCTTCTCTACACATTCGTATTCTGTTTAATGTAATATAGGTGTGGATAGAGGTATGTATTGATGCAAAACTATACGTCATTTTTCCTTACACTATGTAAATATCTATCACATTTATTGATTATTTATTTTATATAATCGGATGTCCTTAATCAAGATTAACTGTACATATACCATTGTTGACAGGAGAGAGAGAGAGAGTGAGAGGGAGGGAGGGAGGGAGATAGTAACACACTCACACACAGAGAGATCAGCTGATTTGTTATGAAAGTACAACAACACACAAGGCATATGTTAACAAAAACAAAGACAATGAGACTGTAAGGGAAATTTGAACAAAACATACATCAATGAATTTATATTTATATTAGTTCTAGACAAAATACTGTAGTTTTAATGATTAAACCTTTAACTGACATTGAATTATTCATGTGTATAGCTTTTAAAATACGTAATACTTGTTGATGTGTTTTCCGTTATACAATATGTAACCATAACTGTTGTTTCTAAAAACGTCTTCAGTCTAGTTAGCATTTATTTTTTAGCCAGTTTGTCTTCTACGAGATGGATTCGCTAACCCTATGCCCAATCTTCCACCTTTATCCGAGCGTAGGAACAGCAGTAGTCTCAGACGGGCTCCAGGCTGAGTTTTTTTCTCAATATGGACTATATATTAAATGCAACATAAAGATCTAGTTACTGTTACATAAAGCATTAAGATTATATAAACAAAAGTGAAATGGTTTTGAATGAATTTTACAACAGTTTTAGTTGGTATATTTGCATCTTGTGTAGATTGTCTTTGAAGCAATTTCAAATTACAATGAAATGGATATTCATTACACAAGTAAATAGATATCTGATCTTAGTAGATGATTGGATAACGTGTTGAGCATTTTAAGTGAAAGGCGTCTGTTTCAAATCTCGAATTGAATATCAGCACTAAAATACAGATATATCCAGGTAATGAGTTCAAAGTAGGACGAAACTAGAGTCTTAGATCTCACTTCAAGCCATATTCTATCTATTCTGTATAATTTGATTGTTTAATGAATGAGTCAATAAAAGGCATTAATTTGATTGTATTGCGGTTGATGCTAATGACAAAAATGTTTGTAAGTAGCACGTAGCGGGAAGTGGCGTCGAATTCGTAACAATTTTCAGATTGAGTGAAGAGTTTCAGTGCTTCGAAAGAGTGGCTTCTGCAGAATACTTAGAGACTAGACGAGAAGACAGTTCAGATGGTACAGTAAACCGAAAGGCGTAAAAGCACGGTTAGAAGTTATATATATATATGTATTAAGTATATATTTTTTAACCTCTTGATTAAGCGTAACTCAGTATTTATGGTCGGACAAAAATAAGATACAGAAATGTGATGAGTAGGATATGCAACACACACATACGCCCATATAAAAACAGTCTGGACTAATAAGCAGATAATTGATAAGATCAAAATGCAGCTTGAGAAGAATGAGTAAACTTGTCTCCCCGGAAGCTAGAATAACCCATATGGGCTTGACATACTAATAGACATTATAGGTGTATGCTACATATGTGGACAGACATAATTAGTAAGTAGCAGAAGTTGTAAATAAAATGCTTATCAAAGGAAGATTGAAATAAGAGAAGAGAAAAGAAAGAGAGCAATTACATTCATTATTTATTTATTTATTTGAACACATAAGTATTGGTACAGAGGGGCACCGGATACATATGCGCCACACTTGATTTAAGTGTGCATCTTCATACTGCCCGAATGCCCAGATCAAACCAGGTGGTTTTCTAATAGTGCTACACCAATAGCCTTCGACCTGAAGGTCTGATCCACAAAGCAGTGAAGTAACGTAGGGAGATACAGTCCCATGATAGCCAGTGACCAACAGTTGGTTCATACGCCATTTGTTCCTTCAGGATAATGGGGCCCATGTGCACCATCGGATAGGAATCAGGGATTTTTAAACTCCCTTAGATGGATCCTCCATATCCACCAACGTGGTTAAGGCGCCGAACATTCGCTTTTCGTTCTCTCAATTTCGTAATCAACAGTAATTCTGCAAGAATGTACTTAGTAGGATTTACCTTTCAGTGTCTGTATACGCGTGGCGATGTGAGAGCATTTAGAGAGGGAGAGCTAACTCTTCCCACCTTCGACCGTACTAAACCATCTGATGACAATCGGAATAACAACAGAATTATAATAAGATATAGAATGTGTGTAGGACAACCCAAGGAAGATATGCAAATGATGTATTTAATGTAAGATTTCCATACTTTACAAAACCACTGTGTAATGTTGCGTTTCATTGGTGAATAAGTGTAGTGTATCCAACAGTTTCAACCCTAAACCTAAGTTAATATTCTCTTCAAAAAGAACCCTCAAAAATTGCTTAGATTCAAATGAATTAAGCTCACAAGTTTACCGAAATACAATTAGTCCATAGATTACATTACTGAGTATATATGATGATTAGAAGTATTTGAATTATAGAATCCTAGAAATAACGCAATTGGATCAAGAAGTACTAGATAAACACGAACGACTGTACTGTATTTGGAATTCGAAATCAAGCATTCAACAAGTACCAAGGAATCATTAGTTCATTCAAACACCACAGTATAATAGTTAACGAATTACTAAAATCTTTGAAGTACTGAAGAGTTGTTTTGTTCTTATGTGAGATTCTTCAGAAGTTTCATCTACAACCAGTTTTGACTACTGATGTCTCATATCAAAAGCAGTTCGAATATTTGACTTCAATTACCATACAATAATACAAATGATGAATGGACTCCATTATTGTCACGACTTTATTTGAAAACCGAATGTGGATATGTGTAGCTCGAGAGTCTCTTATTAAAATGAACCAGGTATTTAATGCTTGTATGATTTTCAACGGTTATTTATCTGAAGGAGGTTTTGTGGAGATTTTAGTAATTTTTATAGTTGAATTATTTAGTCAATTGAAGCTAGACTATCATAGAAAACCTGGAAGCATTTTGTTGAGACGGCTTCCCAAAACTACGACTGAGCCTCCAGAGGAGCAAGAGGAGCCCAAGAGTTCTATCCAATCAGAACGTGATGAAGCTTTCTAGAAAATCAATGTGACATTCTATTATTGGTCAGTAGCATAACATACCTCTTTGCGGATTGGTTGACATAACAAACACTAATTTCTATAAATACACATGATTTTCTTTCCATTTTGATTGTTACCCAACCAATTTAATCTCAAGATAGTGCACACAATGTCGAGTCACCTAGACAAGTGGCCACATTGCAACTTGGTCCAAAACAATCGATCTGCACTAAGAAGGACTTGACACACATGACACTGATCACCACCCAGTGATCAATCAGTTGTGATTACATCTCAGTCCTACAGGATGTCTGCCGTGGCCCAGATAGCCTAGTGGTAACGTCTCTGACTGTGAAGCTGAGTGACACTGGATCGAATCAGTCAGGGTGACCAGTTTCCTCAAGATCACAGGTACACCTTGCTGACGAGTACCAAGTAGCACGAAACCTGGGTCTAGGCTTTCCTGTTGATTATCTCCAACCACCATCTAATCTCAACCAACACTTCTCCAGCTTACTTCTGTTTTCTGATGGTTTCTAACATTCCAGTGCTCAAGCTTATATGTTTCTAGGACTCTTAAAATTAATCCATAATACAAACTAATTTAGAATAGAATTCTCTCTATAAATCTATCTCATAACAATTGAAATCAACTTGAACTAATATTTGGACATTTATTTATATTGACAAACATATTATGACAACATACCGTGTTTTCTTTTTTGTTTAGTCCGCTAATCAATACCAAGAACTAATGGTTTATAGATGTCTGACCTTTCATATTAACATCTTCATCTATAAAATGGTACATTTTTTAATATAAATCTTGTTGTTATGATGGTGATTATAAAAGAGATGACTCATTTTCAGAATACATTTTTTTGAAAACTATGTTTGACTCATCACTATCACTTCTTAATCATAACATTCTTCTATTGATTATATTAGGATGGTTCAGTATGGTCATTCTGTTTTCAACTCTATTAAATGTTTATCCAATAATTCATGTACATGAACAAGCATCAGTAGGGTTTATTTGAGAGGTTGTAGTGTGGTGTCAAGTTGCGGTTGACTATGATCACCACTACAAGAAGACTATGCGCCAGTTAACCGATAACATCCCCCGTAAGCCAAATATCAGAAGAACGTTGATGGTTGTAGTCGAGATGTATTCGTTGGCGATCTCGTGGTATCGAAAGAATACCGAGATCGTAACAAAGGAGTACAAGTGTGGTTACTGAGCGTAACCGAATTCATGCAAGGTCACACACAATCAAAGGAAGAAAGCAAGTACAGTAAAACAATCACTGGTACAATTGGTTATAATAATAATTGTTTCCGTTAAACCAATCGCGTTCTCTTGATAAAAGTAGGTCACTACAAGCTTGAATAAATATATGCCGTAGTCGGTTTGGTTGACTAAGGGCATATTCATGTTTAAATTAAGCACTAAAAATACTTCAAATGATGGGTTCAACATCCACTATACTAATGAGTAATGACAATAATATTTATGTCCCTATTTATTTGTTTGTAAACTGAAAAGTAACTAATATACGTCAAATGATTTACGGCAATCGGTAGGAAGTCCTGATGAATTGGCTAGTTGTAACTCTTTATTAAAGTGTGTCTGGAATATCCAAGGTACTGTTGAATTTCATGGGATTCAAATCAACTTTAACTAGTGTCAGTTAAAGTGAAATTTACACAAACAATCGATTGCTACTTAGTGATAAAGCAATACTGTAATATTTATCCTACAGGAGACTAGTTGCAGACAAAATTGACCAGTAGTAAATGTCTCAGATGGCTTCAAATTTTTTGAATAGCGATGCTTGCTTCAAGACTTTAGAAATACTGTATTGAGGAATATCTACTAGCATGAGACTTGGGTCATGTAGCGTAATTCGCTCCCTATCTACAACCACTCAGAATCAAAAAGCCACTTGGACTAGTAGGCACATTCCAACTTTATTGTGGTATATATAAAGATATTGTGTGGTTGAAGTATAATAACAGAAACTTTTCTGATGTGTTTTCATATGGGGCTGAAGACTTGAGATAGAGGTAAGCGCTCACATCGGTGGATCAACAAGTCAAAATGATCTCACCGTTGCTCAAGGTTATTTGTGCAAGTCTAGGTGTTTCATTGGCCATGTTATAAGTCAGAAAACGGACTAGTATACTCATACTAGAAAAGAATTTATCAAGATTTCTATTGATGCGTTTCTTGCCTGAACTATTAATAAAGGAAATAAAGTCAGATATAGAAGTAACTGGAAATATTCACCACACTCTAGGAAGGAAGAATTGGGAGAGGGAACAAGTGACAACAGATTGGAAAGAAGGATATCTCATCAAGATACCAAATAAAGATCTCAGCAATTGTGAGAACTACAGAGGCAATACACTACTATCGGTAACACCAAAGGTTTTCAACAGTGTCGCTGAACCGGACGAAAAACTCAAAAGACGCCCAACTTCGAGATCACCAGACAGGATTCTGTAAGGACCAGTCGCGCACAGACGGAACGTCGGTTCCGTTTAGCGTCCACATCTATTCCACTGAGTAATCATAATATATATAATACAATGTGACCAAGAAATGTGGAATACAATCGGTCAATTTCCTGAACAAGTTTATATATAACAGCATGGTGAACTACATTTTTACTGTACGATCCTTGAAAGATATTTAAGGGTTCAAAAACTTAATAAATCAATCCATCATATTATTACTATTTAAGTCTATCCTACCCTGGTGGGCGGCCTATGCTCCACCACGAGGAGTAACAGGCGTAAGTAAGTATCCTACCCTAACTTTATCATCACAATGGGGCATATACGAAAGCCTTGAAGTTATGAGGGAATATTGTAACTCAAGATGTATTGAGTTCACTTGGTATTGTACTTATTCTATTAATTTCATTGTAACATTTATTCATTGGTGTTTACAATAATACCATCAAAGCACATAACCTATTTACTAATTATGGATTTCTATAATCAACAGCTTAAAGAGAAATATCGAGGCAGTTCGCACAGGATGCACATATGCCAAAAAGAGACTGATCAATTGCAGTCCTAAATAACAATGGGAAGATACAAATAAAACAACACCAAGTGAATTTAAACTTCACCCCATTGCACAAACAGGTGACTATCAGGACTCAGTATCTAAGTGGATAACGCCATGGCGTTTGACGAGGATGGTACTGGGTTCCAGTCCCAGAGTGAACATTAACTCTGAGATGCAGGTAAATCCAACTGACGAGTTCCAAATAGGACGAAACGTGCGTCGAACTGGATTCCACTACTAGTCACTATCCATCTTTGTTTATAAAGCTTGTGACTTAAGGCAATATCGAAGCAGTCCGTACAGGATGCAAATATGCCAACAAGGGACTGATCAATTGCAGAAAACAACAAGAATTGTGACAATCAATTATTTTTCGACAAATAATAAAGAAAATAATATCAGTAGATAAACAAATGAAAAAGAAACTGAAAAAAATAACAGCAACAAAATAACCCAGAAAGAAGCACATAAATGAAGGTAGTTAAACAATACATTCTTGTACTGAGTAAAGGCATGGATATACAAACAAGATAAGTTGCATCACAGAATGTGATTGAGCGAATGAGTATGCATGTGAGTGAGTGTGTATATGAATCGATTATTGGACATACAAAAAAAAAAAGAATCAGAGAACCAAACAAGCATCTTCATAACATTGAATGATTGATCTTGAACAATCAATCAATAATGAGAATGCAAACTAATTGCGCACACATCCAAATATACAAAGAGATAGAGGTATGTAAACAATATTAACAAATAAATGAATAGTCTGCAAAACATTTTCACGAAAGAAGAACTTGATACAATGTAATTGATCATAAAAATCAATTCTTGTAAATAGATCCATGTATGTTTGTATGTGTGAAACTCATCTCCTGTTACAATATCGTTTTCTAGTGCATCATAGATGATCATAATTCAACGATTTATTGATCAATATAGTTAGTATTATTTACTAATCACTAGGTGAAGTTACCATCATCATCATCACCATACACCCGTCACAACTATTAAACATTACACAATTGGGAGAGAAAAAAAAAGAGGGTAAGTACTGTCATTATTATGAATAAGTTTAGTATCTAATCTGTGTGCGTAATGTATGGATAAGTGATTAAGTTGGGAATGAATAAGAGATATACACACCCATATATAGAATACATACACATAAATTAAATTGTATGAAAATCCAACAGGTAAAAACCATTTTATCTGTTCACTTCAAACATGTTAACAATGATGAAAGACACAAATATGAAAACAAAAGTATCAAAGAATCCAATAAACACATCAATAACCTCTCACAAAATGGGACAACAAATCAACTACACAGAAAGACATTTCAAGAAAGAAACAACCAGTCTTCAGAAGCAAAATAAAACAGAACAGGAATAAACAACAACAACAAAAGACGAGTCTATAACTAATCGCTAAGTGATTAATGACAGTAGAAGTAATAATAAAATCACGTAAACATCATTGACTAGCACTGTATGTGTGTATAGATATATGAGTTCACATAAGATACTATTATACTAAATGGCAACTGTTATCGAACTGTATATTCAGAGGGGTATATATGCTCAAGTATACAAATAATTAACAAATTTAAGTAGTGCAAAAACGTAATAAATATTAGTGATATAAGTTATAATAACAATATCAATGGTAATATGAATGATAATAATAGTAGTATATACATTAAAATATTGTAAATCCAATCCTATCCAATATGATAAGAAATGAATCATTCACTTGTATATAGACATGATATATGATTGAATTCTTATTCATAGAGGATCTTGTAACTTTATATGAAATGGTATATGTTTGTATGGAATTCATCAACGTGTGGAATATTCGAAGAGAGAGAGAGAAAAAAAAACACATAGTGTAAAAAGGTGAATATTCTCCCAAACTAATCAGAATGATGGATGGATGGATGGATAAACGATAGTCAGAAAGATAATAATAAAGTATTTTATTATTATGTAATATACAATTTCTAAACGTTATAACTGAATATTAAACCGATAGAGTAGTAGTAGTAGTAGTAGTAGTGTAGTGAACGACAACACCGGTGGAGACAATCGAATGTATTTGAACACGAAATGACAGAGCATCTTACTAAAATCTGAGAACCATATAGTAAATACTTCATTTACAAAATATCAATCCATTGTCTCAAACTTCACTGTATCTTTTGCAAATATCAGTTCATTGTCTCAGATTTCATTGTTCATGTATTTTCATATCAACTGTGTTCCGTTTTCGTTCTTTCCTTATTGATCTTCTACTGGAATACATTTTATGCCTGACCACCGTTATATATTACTCATATGGATATAAGTAACCCACACCACTGTAGTAGTAGTCGTAGTAGTATTCAGTCAAACCGTAACCACTGAATATATAGGCACAAAGAAGAAAAATGCACAACTGTGTGGTGATATATAGTTAGTATATTAAAGAATAGAAAGAAGTAAAAAAGCAAGATATATATATGTGGGTGTGTACGTAAATATTCCAAGGAGATAATATCACAGTAAGAAAATAAACACCAAAAAAGGAAAACAGAGAACTGAAGCCCATGCACATGAACAAACAATTAAACAATATTAACAAACATAGATGTAAAGGGGGAGTATATATATATAGATATAGATACTTGTAAAGGTTTATGAAAATAAACGAATCATTGAATGAATTTTCAATAATCTTAAATTGGAATTGATTTATGAAAAAAAAACGAATGAGGCAACATCAATTAGAACATTTTTGTATTATGTAATCTTTGAATGATGAATTGATTTTTGATATTTTGTTATATTCTGATGACGTGTTGACCATTTTTTTGGTGAATAACGTGGATTTGATGGAGCATCAACAAATGAACGTAATTCATAAGTTGCTATACGTGGATCAAATTCAAATTTATCACGTGAAAATATTAAACGTAAATCTGTATGAAGGTATAATTTACCTGAACGAGTTGTATGAAATCTATACAAAACAAAAATTGAGAATATAAAGAGAATAAGTTATAATGTTTGTTCTAGAATACAAACCAAGATTATCACATAAAAACTATATATTAATTGACTAGCAAATGATCCAATTTCTTGAAACGTTTAGAAGTCATAACCAGTGGAATTCAACCGAATCTATTGTAGATGAAGTTACTCATTGAGACAATCACGGACGTCGAAGCAATTTCATGGATGCATTAAAGTTGGATATTAACATGGTTGAATGACAACCCAGTGGTTTAAATGTTAATCGTTCACATGAAAGACCGATAGATTCTGTGTTGGAATCTCGCGAGTGGGATAGGGGATGCGCACTGTCGAGGAGTCCCGTGCTAGGACGAAACAGTCGTTTAGTGTTTCCAGGCTCGCTTCCATGATGGTTCAGCTTTAATTAATTCATGAATTCAACTATTAAATTACTAAAATCTCCACAAAACCCACTTCTGGAAAAATTTATCAAAAAGTCTTTTAAATTTGTATAAAATAATTCTGAATGATTAATTCAATACTTATCAAGTATATCGAAATAACCAATCAGAATGAAGTCCAATGTGACCTTACATCCTATTGGTTAATTATGAGGTAAAAGCAAGGTATATAGGAAGCCAATCAGAATCGAGAAAATTCTTGGACGAAATTCGAAAATAAAAAACATTTATCTTAGATAAAATTCAATTATTTGTATATAGATTGTATGTATAAAATAAATTAAACAAAAATCGTCACTAGGATCAATGTACTGACTACTTATAAACTATATGAGTATTTGAGAACGTGAAAAATTCTAAATCTATATGCATGGACTTACAAGTCAATATTTTCAATTTTCAGATAGAAAAACTTGTAAAAGAAAAAGAAACTTTTCCCTCATAAACTGTTGACTTACGATAACGTTTTTAAAGAATAGTGTTGGAACAACTTACAAGAACTATGATAGAGACTCTAGAGGCCTCAAACGAGCCGAAGAGATTCCATCCAGTCAGAAAGTGATAGAGCTTTCTAGAATATCAATGTGACATGCTACTAATGGACAGTAGCATAGCATAACTCTTTGCGGATTGGTTGAATTATAACATTGATTTAACAAACGCTAATATCTACAAATACCCATGATTTTCTGTATATATTGATTCTTACCCAACCAATACTTCTCTAGATTCCTTCTGTCTTCTCATTTTGCTACTGTGGTGTTCTATATGTTCGAGTACCGTAGTTGTATACCGTATTATGTGTTAATCAGATAGTGAACATAGCAAATAGCTCAAACTAATCCCTACATCATAATTATAACATTCATGGATTTAGCAATATGCTGAAAAAAACGTCTGGTCTTTCATAAAGATGGGCCTTAATTATTCACTGATGGTTCGTCTAAATTAATGAATTAGCGGATCAACAACCACTAGACAGTTGTAACACTACCTTCCACATACTAATAACGTGATTTAAAGCCGAGTACACGAATCAATACATGTTTAGTAAGTGGTTTTAGTGTTTATATTGCTCTGTGGATAATATCCAATGAAGAATTAAGGTTAGGTGGATTTCGATAATAGTAACTAAGTATGTTTAACATTTGATTGAGTTATTACTGATTGAAGTGTTAGGATTAGGCGTATTAATCTAAATTCGAAAGATTACTTAAAAACTGAAGTTCACTCTCCTGTTACGACCAAAGTCACTCGGTCAGGAAACGTACCTGGAAAGGACATTGAATTAGAGGTGGTCTTAGTGATAATGTTTAATAAAACACTAATTGAACATAGAAAAATGTTACCGGTAACCTATGGTTCGTACGCGATTTGTTTCCTCAGGATCTTGAAGCCCATGTGTATCATTGGATTGGAATGAGGGTTTTCCAACTCCCCTGGATGGATTCTCCATATCCACCAACACGGTTAAAGTGCATTTCGTCCTCTCAATTTCGTAAAAACATACCCCCGCCTCGAGAAGGCAGTGAGTAGGACTACCCTAGCAGTGGTTGCATGCACGTGAGCATTTAAGAGTATTTTGAGAGGGATAGCTGACTCTACTCATTCTCAATCGTACCAGGGCATTTGGGGGTTTAAATGATATCTCTGAGCACAAATAAATCCATACAAGGTGAATTCATAAATTCAATAGTGTAGATTAAATTTTAATGTTGTAGTTCCACTTAACGAAATAAGTGAGCTGAGTTCAACTCACAAAAATGAGATCCCATGAATACACATTCAACGAATTCTCGTGATTTACCATTAAGAAGTGTAAACATAGGTGTTGATAGTCATTTTCTTTTGAATTATACACCTTCTTACCCTCCAGTGTGTGTACTTGAGAAACAGGGGAATAGAACAACAAAGTGATCAATATATCACATTGTTTATAACTGCTAATTTCATCACGAATTGATAAAAGTAAGTCAATTACGACGAAGTGGATAAACACACACATACGCATAACAATTACGAATGAATTCATATCATAATCCGATTATGTATTATGATACTTGGAGTGCAAGTGTGTATGTGTGAGACGGAGAGAGAAAGAGAGAACGTGCAATAGAAAGAAGCACGCAGATCAAGATAAAAGTGCATATAATGTGATAATCATGATTAGCAATTTTAAGGAATAAACAATTCAGATAATCATACACATAAACGAACAAACATAAATAAACTTTTGGTAAAATATGATAACCATACATTGAATACTTGATCGGTAAAATTTCATCATTTGTCTTACAAATTCAGTATGATTCTTCCAGTTTACAATTTCATTCTATTTCCGTTTCTGTTTTCTCTTCAATTTAACCTTCTTAGTTTTCTGCTGCCCGCGTTTTCACTTCCACTTAGTGTTACATGCTACTTATATCTATCAACATAAGTGGCATACACCACAAAATAGGTTAAGTAGTGGCACAAATCCATGAAGTCACTGACAAGTGGACTGAGCCACGTTGGTACGTGTAGACTACTTGGTTGGGATCCGCGAGAAGATAACAATCGATGGTTAGAGACCTTGAATGACGCATGACTCAAAATTGTTAGCAATGGCGCAGGTGCATTCACTCTTTGTGTTCTCCCAAATTCTAATCTTCTGAATTCTTCATGTCCGTTTGTTTTTTTTCTTTCAAAATTTATATCACTGGATTATACTCCTTGAATAACATCATCAAACTCTAATGTTTCCGATTACTGCTTATACTCTTACTAGTTCTACCACTACGGGATTTGAATCGAAAACTGCATCTCTGTGCTGATGTGGTATGGCAACTCAAACTGATGTACGTACGTACGAAGTTCTAGGTCCTTAGTGACTGACTGTAATGTCACTCTTGCATATTTTCTGTTGATTACGATTGACTGGCAAGCGACAAGTATGAATGCCAACGGAAGGAGCGAGTGAATTCTTCTTCAGGAAATCAGATACATTTTAGTTGATGAATGTTAACTGACATGAAAACAAAGCTAATAAAGACTTCCTGTAGATAACTTCCAACTGATAAACACTAAACGAAATACATATTGGTTGTAGCTGCTACTTCGGTGTGTGGTTGGTTGAGTTTGCAAAACATGCTGAATAAATTGAGTGATCATGACTGGAACGTAAGTTCTTTTATGTCTGTCATATCGTGGCCAGGAAGGTTAGTTGAATAGCGGTAAGACTTGAAGCAGCAATACTTGATTCCGATGGAGGAGTCTATTATCGACTATGCTATAATGTGACGGGAGTGGGGTATTTCCATCAGAAAACTAACACCAGTGGTCTACAGATTAAGTTTTCAAGCGCGAGACTGATAGGTCCTGGGTCCGAATCCCACGAGATAGGATCGTGGATGCGCATTTCTGAGGAATCCCATGCTAAGGCAAACTGGCCGTCCGGTACTTCCAGGATTTCCATAGTAGTCTAGTTCGAATTGACTCATGATCTCAACTATTGAAATTACTATAATATCCACAAAAAATGTAACAAATAATAATTGTGAGCTATAATTGTCAACAATCTATTGGTCTATTTATAAATAACATGATTAACCAGTTCATGTTGTTGGTTGACGGTAGTGAGGTATTTATATTAGAAAAATAACACCAGTAGTCTACAAGTTAAGTGTTCATGAGTGAGACCGATGGGTCCCCAATTCGAATCCCACGAGATGGGATCGTGGATAGGCACTGCTGAAGAGTCCCACAATAGGACGAAACGGTCGTTCATTGCTTCCAGGTTTCCAACAGTAGTCTAACATCAATCGGTTCATGATCTCAATCAAAAACAATCTATTGATCTATTTATAAATAATATGATTAACCAGTTCATGTTGTTAGTTAGTTTAGATCATTGTTTATTTAATCATTATTAAGAAAAATAAGGAAAATAAAGTTTATCTTGATTGTTTTTTTTTCAACAAACAATGGATATTATTACCTTAAATGAACTAGATATCGTAAGTAGGCAGGTAATTCATTACGTGTATTCAATGACACACCAGCAATACCAGTAGTAGTATTATTAGTAGTAGTAGTATTACTATTAGTAGTGTTATTATTATTAACAGCATTCTGTGAACCATATGAACTTAATGAACCAATTGATGTAATAGACGAACATGAACATGATGATGAATAAGATAGAAATGATGGTGTATTTGGTTCAGTTAATGATTTTGATGATATATCCCATAAATGATTTGTATTACAATTGGATAATGTATTATTCATTGATACATTCGTATTTATCATTGATGTACTAGGAGTACTATTACAATTTAAATGATTCGTATTAGTATGTGTTGAATGATATTGAGGTTTATGAAATGAACAAGTGGAATTGTTATGTAAAGATGTTGATTGTGTTGAATTGGAAATTACATAAGATGAATGAAATTGATTATGTTGTTGAATTGGCATATAAACTGTACGTTGTCTTAAGAATGTTTGACAATTTGGTGGCATATCAGCTAAATCATATACAATAACAAACATTTTCACTACAAGACCAGTTGGATTGAATAAAGTTAACTAAAAATAGAAAGAAAACAATAGTAACATTTAAAATAAAAGACGGATCAACGATAGTAAATAATATTGATGCCCACAAATGACGTGATACGGCAGAGAGTGGGGAAAGTCAGCTCTTCCTATCGAAATGCTCTCACATGGCTACACCTGTACAACCACTGTCAGGGAAATCCTACTTACTGCCTTCTTGTGGCAATATTGTTGACTACGAAATCGAGGGGACGAAAAGTGGTGGACCACTAATGGTGCATATGGGCTCCACGATACTAAAGGAACAAATGGCGTATGAACCAATTATTGGTGACCGGTTACTATGGGACTGCATCTCCTAACGTTGTCTTGTGGATCAGACTTTTAGGTCAAGGGCTTTGGGTGTAGTCGCATAAGAAAACCACGTGCTTGGATCTGAGTACCCCGGCAGTATTACAGTCCTCCTACAAACCAATGATAACTGCCATTAATTTCATTGTCATTGTGTGGCCTACATGTATTTGGTGCCCCCTTGTACTAATGTTTATGTGTTCAAATAAATAAATAATAAAATGAATAATATTGATAGTCGATTTATTCATTAATAGACATTTTGTTACAGTAAAGAATTCATCTTGATATGCAATGTTTTTTAGTGCAGAAATAGGTTGAAGGAAACCTAGAATCCTCTAAACAGAGACGTAGGATCAACCAATGAAGTCATCAACCTATAAACTGAACCACGTATATAGGTGCCAACTATCTGGCTGTGATCCATGCCATTATCATAATCCATGATTGGGAACCACTTTTCTTTAAGGACTGAAATCAACCTAATGAAATAATGAAATCCATGGAACAATGAACAGTTGTTTTGCCTTATTTTCAGATTACTAGTCAGTAATGAGTACTTGTGAAATATCAACTTCTACAACGACCATATTATCGTTATCATGAAACTCAGCTGATATCCAAATAGTTCAACTTCCCTATTGAGTTCATTTTATGATGTAATCTAAGATATATCTTACTCTGAAGAATCTTTCCGGTCAGTCGTAAATGAGCTGTTATGTTTGAAAAATATCGAAAACAATCAAAAAACTGATTTATGACATGATTTCTAAACTCTTATAAATCTGAAACCATGGAATCTCTGAATATATTAAAAAATAGGTCGATTCAGTTTGGAATCAGTGTTTTCCAACTCCGCTAAGTGGATTCACTTTATCTACTAACCCGGTTAGAGCGCCGAACATTCGCTTTTCGTCCTCTCAATTTCGTAAACAACACCCCTACCACGAGAAGGCAGTGAGTAGGACTTCCCTGACAATGCATTCTCGTGGCGTTACTGTTGATTACAAAATTGAGGGGACGAAAAGCAAATGTTCGTTGCTTTGACCGGGTTGGTGGATACGGAAGATCCATCTAGATGAGTTGAAAAATCCTGATTCCAAACCAATGATGCACATGGGCTTCAGGATCCTGAAAGAAACAAATAGCGTATGAACCAATGGTAGGTTACCGGATACCATAGGACTGCATCGCCTAACGTTGCTAGACCGTTTTTTGGATCAGACCTTTAGGTCGAAAGTTCCAAGTGTGGTGACCCAAGAAAACCACCTGGTTCGGTCTGGGCACCCTAACAGTATTAAAACCCATCTACAAATCAAGTGACTTATATGGCACGTATATATTCAGTAATTGCTTGTACCAATACTGATGTGTTCAAATAAATAAATAAATTTTTGAACACTAATTTCATTAAAGTAAAAACAAATCATAGCAACAAAACTATACTACTGGTACAATTCTTAACTGAATTATTGTCAGTCTAATCACTATAACAAATCATATACAATACATAAATGTTGTTTGCATTTCTATATCAATTTCATTTTCTTAATCTGAATTTTGAATCAACTGAAGAAACATTAGGAGATCTACAAATACACCAGCACCAGCACCAGCACCAGTACACATATATACATACATACAATCGAATATGAATCATAAGACAATACAAATTAGAAGGTAAAACGATATGAACTAGTTATGTATAGGCAGAATGTTTATGATGAATTCATTTTATCCGTATGTACAAGTAGTACGAATAATATATTTATGTTAAATAATCGTTAGTGGTGAATCTAAGCTGTGTTTCTTATTGATTGCTGATCTCAACAGCACGACTAGTTATTGCATCCCATTTTTGGTAGTTCAAATGGGAATCGAATCTAGAGCATTTATACGTCACGAAAGTACTTAATTATTGATAGAATACGAGATTAAACAATTATTTCTTGAACAAACATCAAATACAAATGGATAAGAATAAGTGTAGTTACATAGATTTGTTAATTTCATATTGTTTGGTTTACAGGGTCAATTGATCAAGTACAGTTAATACGATTTACAACACATAAATTAATAAAATATGAAGCGTGACTTAGTAAAGAAATGTCCGTTCAGTGTTTAATGACTTGACAGTAACAATAACGATACTAGGGTTCAAGCTTACGCCATATTGGATAAAAGTAAAGTATTTTAACTCTAAGGTGAGATTATAATTTATGGACGAACCAATCAGATTTACGATAACAGGTCTTCGATTTTGGAGCGAAAATCATTCACCCATTTGCCTAAATACAGTTTTGGCATTATAGCTGATGTCAGCTCGTGATGAAAACTCTAAACCAAACCATCAACAGTAAATCATAATCCTTATTCTTCAAACTGATTTATAACCCTCATTTAGACTTAGTAAGTAGGTAGACACTCTCAAGGTCACTTTGGCATCACCGCTCAAACGTCGTCCATAAATTATAGTCTCACCAACCCTACTTAAATAACACAAACAATAGAAACTATATAATAGACTTTACAACGCATAGTTCATCTGATGTCAAATGCATCAATTAATGAGATCTACAAGTTTCTGTCGAAAATATTCCATAACACAAAGTACAAATATCCATACATTTGTCTTCTTCATCAATTAACCATCTACAAATTAATGTGAATCAATGAGTTAAACAAAATTGGAGCATATCCACTGCACAAAACTGTACAACATCATTAACATCAACAAACATAACGAATGAATATACAACGAATCAGAGTGGGCGATAATGATTTGATAGTTTTGTCACCAATCACATTCGAGTGAGAAGGTCAGTTGACTGAGTGAGTTGTGTATATTTAATCAGAATGTAGATAATTGTGCGATTATCTGCTGTCATTTCATAACTGTAGTAACATCAACAAACGAATATCATCATCATCCGCTCTCTTTAAACGAATACTCATTACATCATCAAACCAACAGTACACAGATACATGTGTTATTCTATTCTTTATAAGTGGATTGGATATCCATAAGTCAAAACAATGAAGACTGTTTCGATCAGAGACAAACAAATGAAATCTCACTGAATGTTGGAGAGTGATCACATCACACAGTATGAAGATAGTTGATGTAATTTTAAACTGAAATATTTCATGGAACGACAACAACAACGATAAAAACACCATCATCATTGTTGTGTGCAGAATGTTTCGATGTACGAAATACATAACGTTATATGAAGTTACTTGAGGGTTTCATTAAAGCATCATGGATTGAGAATGTTAGTCCATTGTTATGATAACAAGTGATAATTGTGTTGATGATGAAGTCAACATTTGTAAGCCTACTCTATTTAAACATTGTGAGATAGTGGACGTGATGAATTTTACATGCATCTACGAATGATATGAATCAAAATTGATCAGTATGAATAAAGTCACTGATGAACATGATTGTGTCCGGGTTCAGCTTGTAGTTTCACGCTTTTTTACTGAATGATGAGTAAACTTTGAACTGGACGTATCAGTCATAAATGATGATTTATTAGAAATTTACAAAACAGCTAGTGAAAGGTTTTTAGTTAGGTTTTGTAGTACTCATCATCAGTACTTGAGGCATAAAATCATTTTCATAAAGTAGTATTGAACAGAGAATCTGAAGAATCTGGCCACCAACATTAAAATATAATTAGGTGAATAAATCGTAACTCAATAGTTAACAATATTACGTAATTCAGTCATTCAAGATCATTATTATATTATGATGTCATTGCTGATTTTTGTCAAAAAACCATTTGCAACAATCCATGTTTACCTACTATTGTTAACACACTTATGTAAGTATTTTTTTAATATTTGAGATCATGAGTCAATTGAAGCTAGACCACAAAAGGAAACCTGGAAGCACTGGACGGCCGTTTCGTCCTAGTATGGGACTCCTCAGCAGTGCGCATCCATGATCTCGCCTAGCAAGATTCGAAACCAGGACCTATCAGTCTCGCACGCGAGCGCTTAACAATTAGACCACTGAGCCGGCGTCCAACGGTCTTATTGTCTAACTTCAACTAATCCATGAAATTGAGCGACACATCCACCATTGTTTACAGGAGGGATCGTGGATGCACACTGCTGAGAAGTCCCACAGTAGAATGAAACGGCCGTCTGGTGCCTCCAGGTTTTCCACGGTGATCTATCTTCAATTGACACATGATCTCAACTATTGAAAATTACTTTAATATCCATAAAACGACTTCTGATATTCATATATGTAGGTTTGTATTTCTTCGTTTAATGAATGAGAAGTGCAAATCAATGAAAAGTGCATCTTCAAAGACAACGAAGATATTAAAACATTGAACTGACTGAACATATTTAATCAATTATAAAATGATGTATGTGATTAAAATGAATACAAATACATACAAGAAGTTTTTATTGTAATGTAATAAATGTGATTAGCAGTGTAATGAAGGACGCGCATCTCGTCCGTTTCCGGACTACTCAGCATGATATATATATATATATATATATATATATATATATATATGCAAGTGTCGACGTTAACGATGAAACTCAAATCCAACATCTTTCGCCTTAACAAGACGAAGTTACAAACCCTTACAAAAACGTTCATACACGCTCAATATATATTAGTGGTTATCTAGACTTAATACCTCAGTGGATAG